AGCTGGATCAATACTGTATACTAGATTTTTATATAGTAATTTGTTTATTTTCTGCCTTCTGTTGTTTACATGATCAAAGTAAACTGAAACAGTACGATGAGTAGTTAGACACTAATCGTTGTAAAAGCGTGCCAGCTTGAGCAGCTCTTTTTTTTTTATAGAGACGTTAATCTCCAGGACTTCCTCAATGAATAAAAAATAAATACTGTAGTAAGTTATTTAAGAAAGTGTAAGTGGTTTATTGATCATCTCCCACAAACTCGTTCACCTTCTGATGACAAATGTTTAAAGTGCACTCATCTCGTTGTAAAACTTGACAAACCTAGAAAACACATCAGTGTGCGATCGTGCGAGAGTGAAGCTCACAATCACAAAAAAATAAAACCCTGCGTCTCTCCTCGAAGCAGCAGGGTGTGAACGCAATACTTCAACACTGAAAAATTCAGCCACACAGCTGAACTGAAACACAAAAACCTCCACAAAACACAGACGATACGGCAAATCAGACTGGAAACAGCTTTTCCTTTACATCCCTGCTTCCAGTTTTCACCAGTAATCATTTCTCTCTTGTGCGTTTGGTTTCTTGCGAGACGTGTGTGTGTTAGGCCGAAGTGTCACAATGACTGGGTTTCTGGATGGGGCTGATCAACTCGTCAGTTTTTCTGTTTAAACGTTTGATTGTTGTTGTTTTTTTTGTGATTTTTTGAAACATCCAACAATAAAACCTGATAGACCTTCTGAAAGAAGAACTACGCACAGATGGATCAGCATGACAGATAAATTAAATTAAGACAACATTATCACACAACCTCCAGCTTCCTCCTGTGGCGCACTCTCTAATGGTGAGGACCGTCCCTCCCCAGTTTAATGAGGCTCAACTGAAGCTATTAAACTGGAATATTTCAGCATAATGATAATTCAATCCACAGTATTCAGACCCCGAGTCTTCTAACATGGTTCGGATCTGCCACGGCCCCTCCCGTTATCGGCCAGTTGATGTCATCCTTTAAAAAAAGGCAAACGTTAATCTAACTTCCATCTGGATTCAACTGGTCAGCCTGTTTTACGGAGAGAGGAGAGTCCGGGATGTTTCGTGCCGTTGCGGTTCGTCTAGACGTCGAGCTCTGCAGCCTTCCAGGCAGACGGCCCATCTATTATTCAGCTGCATCTTTACTGCCACACAGCCAATATTACTATTTATATCAGGGTGTGATTGTCTCCACCAAGAAAATGTCAGCGATAATGAGTGGGTTTTTTTTTCCAGTAGTGACAAACAAACATCTGAACTTTACAGCTGTACAAATGAGATTAGAGCTTATAATTTCATTTTTAGAATTAGAGACACTGAATACAAGGACTTGTCTCCAATAATCCTGTTTGGGTGCTCATGGACATGTCCTCAAGGTGCAGTCCTGGAGAGGAGGGTGTCCAGTTTGGGAACCTCAGGGTCTCTGCTCTTTGCAGATGATGTGGTTCTGATGGTGTTTTCAGGTCTTGGCCTTCGGCGTGTAGCGTGGTCATTTGTAGTCACGTGTGCAGCAGCTGGAATGAGAGTGAGCTCCTTCAGGTCTGAGACCATGGTTCTGGACTGAAGCAAGCTGGGACGCTCTCTCCAGGTCCGAGAGGAGTCTCTGCCTCAGGTGGAGGAGCTTGAGTACCGGAGAGGCTCGTTTATAAGTCACGGTAGGATGGATCCACAGATGTGCGTCTCATCCTCAATAATCAGCATGTTGCTCTGGTCTGTTTTGGTGAAGAAGGAGCTGAGCTGAAAGGGAAAGCTCTAGATTTACTGGTCTACATTGCAACCCTCACCTGAGGTTTGTATCAAGACTGAAAGAACAAGATCCCTGGATACAAATAGGCGAAGTGAGCTTCCTCTAAAGCGCGTGTCAAACTCAAGGCCCGGGGGCCAAATGCCCTCAAGAAGATGTTGAACATAAAATACTTTTATCCCTTACATTTTTTCAGTATTCTTTGATTATGGTGTCGAAAGTGCAGCAGGGAACATCAAATGAGACCAATCAAACTCTTGTTGAGGAACTTGCAACCAAGAAAAGATGTTTGGTATCTAACTTGACTTCATGTAGATTCTGAAATTGGCCCTTAGTTTGAAAAAGGTTTTAATTTTGGCCCCTTTTTGTGAGTTTCTCTCAAAATTGGCACAGACAGGAGGTTGGAACCTTCTAAATTTAGTTTTTACCATTCCAGAGAGCTAACGCAGTGTTTTGAGTCGTGTTTTCACTGGTGCACAAACTGGTGCACAAACTGGTGCACAAACTCCCAGGTGAGTTTTGGCTTAAATTTCAATAACAAGGAGTTTGTGCAAACCTGTCGTTCGGTGCGATTGTAAGTAAAAATTTCTGTATTTTTTCACAATTTTGTTTCTCCAAGTCCCCAACAGTTGGAACCCTGCGAGACAGGGACTTAAATAAAACTGAGCAAAAATATTTGTAGTTTTGTTTTTGTGGAGTTTGTTTTTATAATAAGAAGCTGATATTTGTCAACGGGCTTAAATCACTCAGAGCCCAGTCAAACTGTCTCCGTCTGCAGGGGTAGCCACAATGTTTGACACCATGTGCCCGTGCTGACGCAACTTGGGCTCGAACCTTCAACCTCAGGATTAAGAGGCCGTGGCACTGACCACAGAGCTACCTCGCCTCCTCCAAACAAACAGTATCACCGTTAAAAATATCTTCAGTGACAGGCGAGATAGAGCCTAAAGGATGGCCAGCAAAAACACGCACTCATGTGATCACACACACACACACACACACACACACACACACACACACACACACGGCAGCTTGCCGTCTCCTGAAGTAGCCGAGCCGAAGGCACAGGAGCCAAATGGGTCATTAACCCTTCTCGTTCCGTCACGGGGTCGAGGTGTCAAAGTGACAACATGGAGGCCTCGTGCTTCACACGGGACAATAAACCGCTCCTTTTTGCCACACCCAGGTATCCATGGCAACCACGGTGTCGCTATCCCCCCTCAAGTCACAACCCGGTCCATAGGTTGCCATTTAAACGGGTCATCAGGAACCTTTCCTACATCAGCAGTACCTACGGTTTAATTATCAGTGTTTCCTGTTGTTGCTGACCCATTTCTGTGCATGAGAGTGCCCTCTTCACCCCTACAGGATTAAATTATAGCGTCTGACTAATTTTATCTCTCAGACATATCCAAATATGAAGCAGCTGTGGAGAGCACCAAGCTGATTTAAAGTAAGTTTCAAGTTTATTTTTTTTATTTTTTTTTACTAAAGTCCAGATAAATTGCAAGATTCAGCTTATAATGAAGAAATCCTTAACTTGGAGGAGGAGATAATAATTAGTAAACCTGTCTATCAACACGGCTCCCCACAGATCATTTTAGGTGACAACTTGTGCTCACATTATCCCACAGGAGATAAAACATCTGGACAAAAAAAAAAACACATTTAAAGCTGAGGCTGAAGCAACACGAAGAGGGAATCTAGCTCCTAACGAGGATGAGAAATGCACAGTGGCCCCCGCTTCATGTGTAATCAATACAACGCAGCAGATATATGTGCTGTAAGAGCAGCCAAACCCACTGAGGAAACGGGCCAGAACCGGGAGATCCACACGGATTTCTGCTGAGCCATGTGGAAACAAGAGCTGGAGCGCATCTCTTTCAGATCGTAGCACCAGAAACCAGACGTCTAGAGACGTTTTCCAGTCTCCAGTGCTGTAAAAACATAACGAGGTCCACTTTACAACATTCATCTATCCATTATCTTTACCAGCTTATTCCTTTCAGAGTTGTGGGGGGGTCACTGGTGCCCGTATTCACTGTGCAAGAGGCTGGGGACACTCTGGACAGGTCTCAATCCATCACAGGGACAAATAAAGACAAACAACCATTCGCTCTCTCACTCTCACCTAGGGATAATTTAGAGTTACCAATCAGCTTTTGGTCTTCAGGAGAAAACCCACGCATGCACGGAGAGAACATGCAAACTCCGCCCAGAAAGGCCCCCGGCAGGGATTTGATCCGGCGAGCTGAGAGGCAGCCACTCTACCAGCTGCGTCTTGGAAATGTTCAACTAAAACTTTAAAAGGCATTTGTTGCAAAGTCAAAGATTGGACTCAACTAATCATCACAATATTTTTCTCATATCTGTGGTTTATGCTAAATTATGAAATGTGTACATACAAATTGTGACAACATGCCAACTGTTAGTTTACCTCCAGAAACAGCTAAAAGTGACCGCTAAAAGGTCAAATGGTAAACTTATCGGTTTAGTTGGAGGTTTGGGAATGCACTGCTAACCGTTAGTCTCGACAGCCATCTTTCTCTATAATTTAGCGTTTAGCGGCAGATCAGCTCCGATAATCCCACTTGAACACCTTGAAACTGATTCCGCCATCTTTGTTTACCGCTGCAGCCAGGTAGGTGGAGCCTCCACCTGGTCCAGCCTTTGTTTACATCAAATGCAGACCCGCATTTCAGATCTGAATTGGATATTTCTGGAAAACTACCTTGGCAAACAGTTTCAAACTGCTGACACAGCTCGGGGTAACCTTTTTATTATGTTTTAGTTTGTTTTTCCTCTGAGTGTAGTTTGGAAAATTTGTCGCCTTCTTCCGAACGTCCCTTTTTTTTTTTTTTTTAGAAATATAAATAGTGTTATAACAGAACCCCGAAGTTTGGGTTCAGAGATGGGAAAGAGAAAACTAGCCGGCTTTCATTCATTCGTTTGAACTAAATGTGCCATAAAAACTCCACAACCAGCCGGTGAAATAATAAAATGATCCCTCCACCCGAGGCGTGACTGTCTTAAAGTCCACTAGTGCACGTTCCACAGAGCCAGCACGGCACAGAGTATAAAATATGCAGGTGAAGGAAAAAATGAGATAATGGTGTTCTCCCAGCCTAATGCCCATTAACCCCTTCCTATTTAGTCAAACTAGCCGCTAAATGGCTGCCTGGAGACAACGGCTAATTAACGTCTCACCAACAAAGTGGAAAAGCTCACTTGTAAATCCCAGAAATGCGGTGTTCCGATACCGGGTCGTGCCGTCTAGTGTATCCAGCTAACTCCGCTCCGCCGTCGGCTCGGACCTGCTCCGCTCTGTCGCCCTCCTCCTCCTCCTCCTCCTCCTCCTCCGAGGGCTTTCTTTCTTTCTTTTCTTTTTTTTTTTTAAGGACGATAAACTTGCCAAGCCCCGCCAGGCTATTGTTAGCCTGCTGCAAAGGAATCCCCGCCCCTCATATATTTCCGGACACGCAATTGGTCAGTTTTCAACCACTCCCGCCTATCATTGGCTTAAAGGGGATGTCAATTAAAAAGTCCAGGGCGGGGTCCCAGGTCGCCTACAAAACGCACGAGCACGGTGCATTCAATGTCAATGACGAAATGTCGGAAATTATAGGATTCTAATTCATATGTACTGGAGCGTTGCGTTCTTTGACTTACTTTGTTATAGTACTTGTAATTATACAAATGTAGGATTGTTTTAGCTCTGTTAAGTATCGAAACAGCAAAAACAAATACTAAAACCAAGATATTACAGTCAAAATTTGATAGCGTAAGCCACAAACACTTTTACATACGAGTACCAAAATACATTATGATTAAAAAAAAAATTTTTTTAAAGTGCGTCATATATAAAATATTTATCTATCCCAGAGGAAAGAATATAACTCCCAATTTCAAACCTAATTCAGACTCTGATGGATAAACACCGTATAAGCATTGCATAAAGAAAAGTTAAACGCAAATATAACAATAAAAACAACTATTTATAGCAAAGTAAGCATAATAAAATATTTGCATAATAAATAAAAACAAAGCTCGAGAATTACATATGGAAGCAAAAATATAACTTTTACCTAATAATGCATGGATAATATGATGGAAAAGAATTATAAAATGTAAATTACATAACAATATTTACATAACAGTGACAGGTTTAAAAAAAAAAATAAGACGAAAATTGTGGAACTTTTCATAAAAAGATAGATAGATAGATAGATAGATCGATAGATAGATAGATAGATAGATAGATAGATAGATAGATAGATAGAT